TTCAAATGATCCACATTTTTATGTACTTTATTATTTACAGCAGTGTTCTCAAACTCCCTCATTGAACACTCCTTTGAGATGAAAGAAAAGTTTGAATTGAGGCCCCCCAAACCTACACAATGACTCAAAATATGGTTTATCACCATCAGACAATAATTAATAATGAATTTTATTAATATCTATTAACTATTTTTTCTATTAAACTGTTTACTTGTAATTTAGTTTGATCTTATATGATTAAAATTAATTCAGCTTGTTCGTTATCAGCCAAATCCCTCAGCAGCCCCAGGAGAGAGCTCCACAGTCCCCCAAGAGCCACAACTCACACTCTGGGAGATACTGATTTATAGATGCACCCTGTGCAGCGGAAGTAGAATAAAGTTTCAGTGTACATACTCAGTTTCAGCTTACATAAGCATGTGTACCCTGCAAGCATGCAGACATCAGCAGTCCATATATCATTTGCACAGTCAGTGAAGGAAAAGCTGTTATTGCCATTTCTCCGGTGTAATTTTTATTCCTTATCCACATAAAAGAATTCTGAGTAATGAGAAATGCTGAGTTTTCTATGCAGCTACACGCGAGGGATTTACACACATGGGGCATGATAAAATAAACTGCTTCAGGGACATAGATCCATGTGCTTCATGCACTACTAATATTGCAACACTGTTCATATTTAGAAAGTACAGTAATTAAGAATGGTAACAGGCTGATGTTCAACGAAATTACAGAGATCATCAGATAGCAGCTGCCATGCTAGTCTTCATGAAATTACTATAGGATTCTGACGATGGTGTATAACACACAAAGATATTGGGTTTTTGGACTTTATCCATCGTCCTGCTTTCTTTTTTAAGATAACTAAGAAAAACACGACATTTCGGAAACAGATCCAGTTTCCGAAACATCGTGTTTTTCTTAGTTATCTTACAAAAGAAACCAGGACGATGGATAAAGTCTGAAAACCCAATAACTCCGTAGTCTTCATGAGTTGCATATGTGGACACACAACCCACAAAACTCATAAACCGAGAGTCAGTATAGGCATCGACTGCAGACTCAACGCTATTCAATACAGTTATCACCAAGAATGGAATGCTAGGCCATCTTTATGATCTATAGTCATGTTCTCAATCTTTCTAGTGGAAACCTCTTCCTTCATACATTTTGTACACAATGATCAAACAAGATCAGATGAAGAGGTATTTGGCTTCACTAGAACTGAGAATTCAGTGTGGTCTTATCGACAAGTACCAAACTGTTTACAGTCTTATTAAGTTCACAATAAAACAGAGGGGGAAGAGGATGTGGCCTGGATTTTTCTGGATGGTGGATTCTTGTAAATGCAGCGATAAGCCTTTCGGTTTCATAATAGGCAGAACAATTCTGGGTTAGCTGAATGACATCCAGTTTCAAAAGGACTCTGGTACATGGAATTACACGGTTAACTAAATGGTAGTTAAAATGGTAAGTGAACAGATATTACAACAAAATTACAACACACAAACAGTGGACTCTGAAATGATTATATTCCCATCCTAAAACCCTCTATTCCGTGGTATAATTCTCAATTTAATAATGTGGACAATACATAACTATACATTTTGGGATAAAAAGGTAAAGCTATCACTGTAACAGGCCGTGAAAGAGGGTTGTGAGACATCAGGGTTCCAATATTTTCTAGACAATCGGCAAACAGATGGTGGTAAGGTTGTCAGCCTTGCACACCAGCCACCTTTTACCCCCCCAGAAAGATTCCTGGTACTCACTTCTGTTATAGGCTGAGTCGACCCCAGGGACATAGTGTGGCTGGAAGGGTTAGGTAAATTGAAAAAATCCAGTGACCTCAATGGAACTCAAACCTGTGACCTTCCAGTTTGTAGCATAGACGATTAAATTTAAACTGGAGTATTTACCTGAAAGTTGATGCCTTCTGTCTTCAGTGAGAGCTGTTGTGTTTCTGGGTTGACATATGTAATAGCTCTTCTGAGAGAAGGTACTTCCCAGACTACTGAATTGGCAGCCACCTCTCTCAGCAGATCTGTTAAATCAAGTCGCTTATACTGCAACGGCAGCTGCAAAAAGCAAATAAATAACTTGGTTTTGAGGTTCTTATGCCAGCAACTATCAACAGAACTATCATCTGGGTTTCAGAATTCAACTTATAAAAATGTTCACATTATTTTGTTTGCCACTCTTTTTTAAATAAAATTTGCCTGTACTTTCATCTTTTATTTTAGCCTCAAGATCAAATATACAATGCACTGCCAGATTCATGACTTTTGACTTTCAAGAAGTTTGGCAGTCTGCATCGGTTACTCACTGGTATTAACATTTACTGTAAGCATCTGGACTAGAACTAAAGCAACTTGGAAAACTTGTAACATAATCTTCATCATCTCAGTACATTCAGGAATTAATGTCCCTCAAGTCATCACTCTAGGCAAATTAGCTCATGAAATATGAAAAGATGAAGGAACATAAAGAGGGAAATAAAAGACAGAAGTGGAAAGTTCAGGAATTGAAATAAGATAAAAAAGGAAAAAGAAAAGTACTTTGCACAGCAGGTAAAAATTGCATTACCACAGCCATAAGCCCCAATAATGGTAAAAAAATTACAAGCAGTTCAGTATAATTTCCCTATATTTAATGGTATTAAACTGGCAATGAGTCAAAGACAGCTTCTTACAACATACTTCTCCATCAGGACATGAAAATAACAGGGAAATTTCACTGAATTTCTGTTATATTTATCGAGGAATAAATATGAAATGGAAGGACATGCTACTTACACTTGGCTTAATACAATTATAATACGAAGAAACATACTTACTGCTAACTTCATTTTACACCAAAGTTCTTGTTCAGTGTCATAATCATAATCCACTATGAACTGCACTGAGGAAATCACTCTGTTTCGCCTAGCCTCATAACTAAGGACATTCACATGTACAGGCATCTGAAATACAGACAGCAAAAAGGTAATCCTCACATCCATGAAGGAAATGACCTGATTAAATAGCTTGAGAAGCACAAAGAAAAAGCTGTATCATTCATATGACCCTGCATACTTCAGAATTGTACTCAGCACACACATTAAAGCAGGAGTTTGTACTGTTATTCTGGAAGTAAACTATATAGTGACATGAACAAGCATGAAATCAGTCACTTGGAACTTGTATAACTGACACCAAACTTGCCCTGTCTTATCCAAGAATACTACAGCAAGTACAAATGAAAATGCATACCATTCTAGGAATGGAAGCTAAATGCATTTAAGTCAATTACACAATCAAGTTTATTCTTCATTTGACTTAAGCTTCCAAATCTTTCAACCTAAAATGCTACAATCACAGTCATAAAAAAGTTATCTCAAATAAAAAATGTAAAAGTTATAGGTACCAATTGCTGCATCATGTAACTGCCCAAGACAGAGACATTCATCACACACTTTGTTGTGTCTCTCTTTCCTGACTTCAAGATGACAAACATTTTACAACAAAATTGTCTTTACGATGAATATTTATGAGGAAATGTTAATCAACATAACTTGAAAATTTTGGGGAAGCAACATTCCCCATGAAATAACTGAACATGTTTTGTGCTTTGTTGAAATAGAAAGTGTTTAGGCATTTGTTTTTTTGCCAGAAGTACAGTTAACTGGCACAGTGTAACTAGACATGTTGGAGTAATTCGACAACATTGAGGAAAATGACTTCCACAATGCTTTTGAAGCATAGAAAAAAGGATTGGATGGCTTTATATGTTCCCAAAGAGACTATTTTGAAGGAGATGGTATCCAAAATTGAGTAAGTTAAGCCAGTATTCCTTTTTTTGACTTAGTCAGGGAACTTTCCAATAGTATCCTGTACAGAATGAAATTACACTGACAAATACAGAGTGTTCAATCATCGGGGAAACCAGGGGATCAGCGTGAGTCGGATACAACATTTCTCACAGATTGCTGCTGTAACTGCCGATAGCGGAATGAGTCATCAGTGTGACTCATTCCGCTATTGGCAGTTACAGCAACAATGTGTGAGAAATGTATCTGACACATGCCGCTTCCCCGGTTTCCTCGATGGTTGAACTCACTGTACATTGGCCAGTCAACAGTCATAAACGTAACAAATGTTGTATATTTTGTGAATGAACTAAACAGATCTCAGAAAGGTATTCACTAAGACAGCAACTTACTAAAGAGGGGAACTGGCGAATGTGAAATGATGCAAATTATACTGCTCTATAAATATATATTTATAGAAAGAAACAGTTTTCTCTTCTGATCTCCAAAACTGAAAATAAACTTACAACAGAACACAAATCTTAGACCATTTCAAGGTTGTCTCCTCTACATACAAACTGAGAATGCACCACACCACGGTCAAATGGGACCCCTAACACTGTGAATGCAGCTCTGTAGATAATAATTACTGAACTTACCCCCTGAAGGAGCGGAATGTCACTGTCAGCCTCAAACATCTGACTGTCTTCATCTCCATGCTCATGATGTTCACTGTTGGACTCCTGTTTACCTTCAGCTGTGTCATGCAGGAAACTATCAGCTTCCAATTTATCACTTCCTTCCACATTCTCATCTGCTTCCATCCCCTCATCTAGAACTAAACCAGACGTGAGAAACATATTGCCGCGTGTTGGGTATATAACGCGACAAATAACTTCACGCCGTATTTGATATAGCGAATTTTATTTCACATTCGCTCTTACAATCACACAAATTACAATCTCACAATTACTGCCATCGGCAGTATCACAAATACTACACTGCAAATGCTGGTTGACTGCCTGGCTGACTTGTAACTCGTAACTCGAGAACTTGAGAACTCAGAACTGACTGCTGGCTAACTCGGAACTAGAGAAGTGGAGAACTGAGAACTAACTGCTAGCTAACTCGGAACTCGAGAACTTGAGAACTAACTCGTGTACTCATAACTCGAGAACTTTAGAGAACTCAGAACTGAGAACTGCTGGCTAACTCGGAACTGGAGAACTGAGAACTGCTGGCTAACTCGGAACTCTCTGCTGGCTAGATTGAGAACTAACTGTGAATAGAGCGGCCTCCGTAGTCTAGAGGTAACGTCCCCACCTCATGACTCGTAGTACGCGGGTTCAAATACCCGGCAGAGGTCGTCGAATTTTTAAGGGCGGAAAAATTCAGGGAACAAGTCCTCCGGGAGGGACTTTAAGCCGTGGGTCCCATGTCGTACCTTTACGGCATGTAAAAGAACCTCATATCTCCAAAGGAGGTCACTGAGCCAAATTTACGGACGTTTCCCGCCCAACAGCAGTCTCTAATACCTCTGGTACATGGGGAAAGCATTATAGATACCTCTCACCTAGTAGAGCCGGTCTCGCTGGCTGGGCAGGACTGACGGTAAGCACCAGTACCGGTAGGATATAGAGACTGGTAGAAATCATAGAGGGAAGCACAATGGACCAATACAGGTCTAAGTGCATGGGGAAACCCACCCTCTCCAATAACTAACTAACTAACTGTGAATAGTCTTCGCTGCTCCTTATTTAGCCTCGTTCCGGACAACACAGAAAACAGCCACGTAATATGCACCACTGTTGTCTGGCGCCGTGTTGCTAGCAACGCTGTCGGGAGTTGTTTACTGCTGCCTGGCAACCGCGGTATCCCTTGGTGACGTCACCGATCTGATAGCATTACGTAACCGCTGGCGGGGGGAGGGGTGTCCCTGCATAGCGCAACACATCACAATATTTACAAGGCTAGTCATGCAATATCATTAGTAGAAATATTAAGAAAAAACTCTGTGGCTTGAGTCCGAAAGTGAACAATACCAACCAAGCAACCATCACAAAGTTAGCACCAACTTTGGAGCATAAAGGGTGTTGCGAGGTCAGCACAACAAATCCCCACAGCCATTAATTTCGGTTTTATTAGCATAAGATAAATTCAGCAAACTACATTTAACTATAATGATGTGAGATTTGTGGGTGTTGACATGAGGCTTCCATGATCTGCTCAGGGAAAACCTGCCCTTCCTCTTTGTGTTGTTAGGGTGGCATTCTATCTCCATCCCTTTCCTTATGAACCAATCCCTGTGCCATACATGGGATAACTCATTTTTCATCCTGTGATGGAAAACATGATGGAAAAGAATATTGTGATCCTAACAAGAGCCATTTTTTGCACAATTTCATTTCCCTCTTGTGACATGAAAAATAAAGCAATATTTAGCCCTGAAACAGATGATTTTCGTGCATACTATTCCTGCTGTCCCAGACTGAACTCCATTTCCTTACCACTTCCTGTGGGTCTGAGTGACCGCCTTCATTGAAACCTGCCAATTTTAACGAATAAATTCCTCATCCTACATGCTTAAACCTTAAGATGGAGGCAGCATGTTCTAACAAAACATCAATGCTGCTTATAAGACCTCAACCTTAACAATCACAGCTGTGGTAACCTCAGAACTTACAACACAGTGTAACACATCATAACTGCACTTTGCTTTGACCACCCCATCATGTGATGTTTATATTGTAATGAGCAGATGGAGAGATAGAGTGATGAAACAAAAAAACTCACACAGCAAACCCTTCTGCACTAGTTACAAGCCTCACTCATTGTAACAATGACAGGCAAAAGAGGTACCCTGTCTGACTTGCTCTTTCCATGTATCCTATCTGTCACACAATTTAACACTTCACTTCTTGTGTCACAGTACAACATTAAAAAAACAAACTCCTTGGCCTGTAGTCCACAAGCAAACTATACCGACCGAGCGATTGCTACTTGTCAGCGAAGTTAGTGCCAACTTTATTGGATAGAGGGTGTCATGTTGTCAGTGCAACGAATCCCCATGGCCATTAATTTCGGTTTTCTAGACCGGAGCAACTATTTCCTTGAAACAGTTCCTCAATTATTGTTACAAGGCTGAGTGGACCCTGTTCCAGACCCATTACTTCTCAGAAAATCTGATAGCATCGGGAATCGAACCAAGACCCCTGGATCTGTAGTCAGAAACTCTGACGACTAGACCACAGATGCGGTCACAGTACAGTACAACATAGCAAAATTAATAATACATGGTATTAAAATGCAGCAGAATCTCATTTAAAATTCAAAGTATGAAAACTGGGCTCATAGTACCATGAGCACTTTGCTGGAAACAGAATGTGCAGAGAGTTAAATACTCATTCAATGTCAGGTAGTTTGCATTAAAGAAAGGGTTGCATACATTTATCAAACTTAGAATCATCCTCTTCCTCCTCCTCTGGCTCCTCATATTCCTGATTCTCTGTGTGCCTCTGTCTGCTGCGAGCAATGGTAGCATCATCATCTTCACCCTGAAACAAAAGAATATCTGTCTTTCTCATATCTTGGCTCTTCATTTGTTACATTAGTCATAAATATGCATCAGGAAATCTTTTTTCTCTTTTTTTAATCTGAAACATCCCTTAAACTAAGTTTCAGTAGTGAAGTAACTTACACATAAAGCTAGAGAACATGACAAGGATTGTTAAACATTCCATAAAAGGGTTTCATAACTTTCAACAATCCACTTTCTATGTTAATGGTATCACATTCTAGAAGGACATATTGACTGGAGGGAGTATAAAGGAAGTTTTGTAGTATTTCTAAATTATAACAGTGCAAAGGTTCAAGTAATCCACAAATTGACAATGTGAAAAAGGATAGAGCCCTGTTACTGATTTCTTACATACAATAATTTATGGAAAACTTTTCACTGAGAAAATATCTGATATCAAAAAGGATAATCAGTGTACTCATAATGTAGTGCAGTGTGAAAAATGGTTAGGGTTATAACTGTAATTACAGTGAAAAAAGTAATTGGTCTATAATGTTCATTCTTGACTTGATTTTCAAAATATTTCCAATTCTCATTTTGAACTGGAAAAAATCATTCTTGCACATGCCCAGTTCAAAGTCATCTTGGAGTCAGGAAAATTCAGTACTTCCTTTTCTTGCCCGCTGCATTAAAAAAACAGATACATTTTAAACAGTGGCTTACATATGAACATATGAAATCCCTCTATATAAAGCAATGCCTCCAAGAATTCTTCATTGCCTCAGGAACATCTTTACTGAGTTGTCATTTGGAATGATCGGGGGATACATAGACAGGCCCAAAGACACACTCGTCCAACAATTGCTCTGCTGTGGCATGTATTCGCTGCCATGGGAACGTGTTTACCGAGCGGTTGTCTAGTAATGAAAGGAGATACACATACAGACACACAGACTGAAGGGAGGGATTTATGAAGTGCGCTGTTGAGACTGGCTCAGATATACATAAGAAGTTTCATAAACATTGGTTCAGGCATTCAAAACTTAATGGAAAGGGAGGGGGGGCAGGAATCAGACACACAAACAACATGGAGATCACATACGCCTACTTTCATTTTTTTCATAATAAGGAAAGTGGGCTAAAAATTGATATGAAATGGTGAGATGGTGTGTGCTGGTAGTACACTAAAAAGCCACTGGACACAGCACAGGGTTAACCACAGGCACTGGCAACAGATGTAATTGACACTAACTGTTTGGGATGTCGCAAGTTACACATTCATACATTATGTGTCTCAATTGTATTTATTGTGGTTAAATCTGAATTATGAACAAGTAATAGGTTTATGCCGCTTACATATTATTTGCAATGATTCTGACTTTTATAAAAACAGAGTGCATAAGCATTTTTGTCTCTGCCCAACTCATGAATAACACTCGTACAGCTTTAGGGCAATAGCAGAATCATCCTCTGGTGGAAGGCTGCAGAACTATGTGTGGACATTGATAGTATAATACTAATCTGTTCTATCACCTTACCTCTACCTCTTCATCAGAGCTCTCATGTTCTTCTCCAACACCAGCCTTCCTAGCTCTGTCCTCCATATCAAGATCTGACTGCTTTTCCAGCACATTTTCTGGACCAGCATCTTCATCATTAGCATCTTCATTTTTTGATGACTTCTTTGTTGCAAACTGAATGCTGAAAGTTATATAAAATAATTTAAAATTGTACCAATCAAACTGATATTATTTTCCTTCTGAAATAAACTGCATATTTTAAACAAAATCTCAATGCCTCTGCCACAGGTACATGCATTTATTTTATTTTATATTATCATTCATCAGTCAATTCAGGTACATAACCTTTGGATATAGAAATTGTTAGTAGACTACACTGATATATTATATAAGATTGTCTTAACATAAGATAAATAACAATTAAATATGAGTATATAAGAAACTAATGAATGAAAACTAAAATACAAAGCTATAATTACTGGGATACCTCAAGATCAAATTTATTATTCCTATCAAGATGCTTTTCAACAGAATAAAAAGAGTTTTCTATAAGAAACTTTCTCAGTCACACATTTTTTTCTTTTTTTAATAATGCTAATCGTGTTAGTTCTACTCATGAATAAAGCTAAACTGTCATATGTTTACCTACAATGAAAAAAAATACACATAAATATTACACATTTTGGAATTTGTTAACTCTTACTGAAGATGACAAGTACAGTAAAACTTCACTTTTTAAGGTTTTTTTTGGAAATCAGTACATTTGAACATTACATTAAGGACAATTTTAAATATACAAAATCTAACATTCAGATTATTGACCTTGGATCACTGAAACTAACCATAAAACAAGACAAAATTTGCAATCCTCTGCAATACGAATACCTAATTCTTCAACATGATACATTTTGAATGACATGTCTCAGCCAGTGAAGTGACATATAAATCATGCACTTGTACACAGATTACACTTTTGTGCGTAATTTTTGACAAGTGCAAGGCCATACAAGGTCATATTTTAATATATCACAAATCTCGTGATATTAAACATACTGCAGAAATAACTCAACTGCAAATGCACTTTTGCTGTCATGAGAGCCTAAGATAATATAGCTCGCTCATTTATTTGTCTCTAATGTAACTCAAAACTGTCTGCAGTCTCTCTTTCATTTCAAATAACATTAAAATCACATCAACTGCTAAACGTTTCGGCCCTACTTGGCCATCTTTAGGCAACTGTTCACATACTGAAACTGTCGCACTCCACCAGATCTAAGTCAATCTATTCCACACTATTGCATATCGTTGTTCACATTAAAATGTGTTTGAGAATAAAAACTCTCTTTGTTCCACATTATTTTCCTTTTGTGATATCCATGTTTGTGCCCCCTTTGTATGTTTCTTCTCACTAGTTGGGCATATGCAGTGGCATGCCGTGCATGGAAGCAAGGGAAGCATTGCTTCCCTAGTTAAGAAACGAAAAGAAAAGAAGTCATATATAAATAATTCAATTTGAATAATAAGGATTTGAATATTGTCATTTAGCACCCGTTCCTGCTCAATGCCACATGCCTCCTCCTTCTCCTTTCCTTTGCTTGGTGGGACGGACCAAGTTTCCTTCGTTATTCTCCATAAGAATTCATCACACACGAAGTGGGCAAGGAAGCAACTTTCAGTTTGCTGGCTAATGCCTGTGATATGGAAGCGAAGGCCTGTGTTCTTTCAATGGTTATGTGAAAATTAACTGTTTATGTGTGATTTCTGTATTGTTGGGTGTTATAGGTAACCTTAAGATCTATTACAATATTGTAAGTGTATATTTAGATGGCGTAAGATTGTATTTGTGATCGTATTTTTACACATCAGAAAGAAGCTATCTGTGTTTAAGGGAAGCAAATCTGTTGCTGCGGTATAAGGGCAGGGGCATGATTAGACTACACGCACAGGCAGCAGCTAAAATGAATGATGGCAGACAACGCGACTGCGACTGTGCAATCTAAAGCCTTTTAAAACAGGGGTTTAATAGCAGGGACTTTTCTGACAACAAAATAAGTATAGAAAGAGGACGACCGACATGAGAGGTGCCAGAACTTAAAGCACAAACCAAATTAAGTGTGAGGAAATTTAATTTGGAATAGTATTGTAAAACAGAGTGGCTATCCGGTTGCCGTAATATAGGAAAAGTGTTTTGTTGGCCATGTCTATTGTTTCTCAAGGAAAAAAATGTATGGAACAAGACCGGGTTTGGTGATATCAACAACCTTCATAAAGCATTGAAACGGCATGAGAATTCTCAGACTCACATTATTTCAACATTGCAACTTGTTATGTTCGGGAGATCTCGAATTGACTGTCAATTTGACAATCAAAAGTGCCTGATGATACTACAGCATAATAGAGAAATAATGAAACGCTTGATTGATATCATCTGCCATTTAGGAAAGTGGCAACTTGTCCTCTTTGGTCATGACAAAAGCGTGGATTCTATCGACCAAGGTAAATTATGTGGAATTAGTTCACTTGTTGAAGAAATATGATCATAAACTCAACGTTCACCTTGAGAACAGTACAGTATTTACAGATTTATCGAACAGCATACAAAACGACCTTATTGACTCAATAAGTGACGTAAATTTTGGTGAGTTGATTGCTATCAGTTCGTTTACTAGATATCACTGCTTCCCTTATCAAAAACAGTACCGCACGCCACTGGGCATATGTATGCATTATTTTCCTTTTGCAGCGTCCATGTTTGTGCCCCCTTCGTATCTTTGTTTTCACTAGTTTGGTGTATCTACACGTCATTCTCCTTTTGCGGCATCCATGTTTGTGCCCCTTTGTATGTTTATTCTCACTAGTCAGGCATACACCAACAGCTATTTTTGACTAGCGGCCCATAATGATCCTGTTAAGCCACTCTCCCTGTCCTGTCCTTATCTAGGAAAACCCTTGCATTCCAGAATCTAAATGCAAGAACCTTACTGCCTCCAAGTTTTAACCACTAAGAAATGTACATCACATGATGTCCCTTGCACCATGCAGTATCTTCTCCTACTCCTTACAAAGATTTCCTCTTTGCCTGAGCTTCCACTGACATAAGTTCAAGAATGATGTTACAGAACATAATTACAAAGGCTTATGTTTAATGTTTTGTCACATCAAACATCTACAGCATTTTCAATGGTTCCAACTGCATGATTTTGAAAACCCTAATTATGGCAATGAAACAGAAAAGTTGAGACTTGAATACAAAACTTGAAATAATAAGCCTGTGTGAGGTGGGCAGCTAATAAAAAAGAGAAATATGAAGGTGGCATGGATTAACTCTTCAGCAATGTTTATGATATTGAATAACAAAGAGAAAATAGGGTACACACTAAACCTACATAAACTAAAATGCTTCTTTTTCTTCGTGAGTACATACTGTTAAAATTCATTTCCCCATCTAACTCTATAACTGTGTGATGAATGTAATGACAGATGCAGTGGCTGCAGGTGGTACAGATCCTAATCAGGTGTCTTCAAGGGGCTTATTTTCAATACAAGTGCAGTGATGTACACGTATCACATAATAGAAAAATAAAGTTATGGATTCAGGTATATCCTATGTGCCACTACTACAACATCTATTTCATATTTACTCACAATGGCTCATTCACAACCAGCACTTGCATACACTCCAACTGTGGTGTTTAAAACAAACCACAATACACTGTATGTATATAAGTAATGGTTCAATTTAAAAACTGCTTCATGTTGGTGTCATTCAAGTGTAAGTGTAACGCAAGTCAATATTTTCATTCTTGCATGCATGCATATGCAGCCAATTATGGGTAAGAAGTGGGTGGGACTTGTGATCATACAGCAAATTGTGAGAAGGGTACGAATGATTCATGCATGCAGGCATTCAGAAAATAATGGGTAGGACATTTGCTTGTAAAGCTACTTAGCAGACAGTTGCAAGTAAAAGTGATGACATATGTTTAAAAAATTATTAACTATTCAGTTCAGATAATGCCAATGACCACAACAATGCTGAATTATTCTTCATTAATTCTGTATCACCATGATAACTTCTTCAAAGAAGAAGAAATACTACGGTACCCACATTTTTATTTGAAACTTAGTATCACAATATATTATACATAATCAGAAGTTAGGGGGGACAGACTTGTAGATATGTATTTAAACCGTTTTCTGATATAACAAGAACCTGTTACATCAAGCACTTCTGGAATTTTATAAATTCTCATTACATTGAAGTTCTAATTATATATTATATTAGTTTATCTACTACCAAAATAGTGTGACATGTCTAACCACTGCTGGGCAATGGGAGGTGGAACGAGTTACCACAAAGATAGACCCTTGATAAAAGTCGACTACCAAGTTATGCAACAGTAAAAATGAGTACTTCTTTTGGCTTACTTTGGACTTCATTCATCGTCTAGTATGTAAAAGACAAAAGACCACGATGTTTCGGAGACTGGATGTGTCTACGTCTTCAGGTGGGTTGGGAAGGATAAACCTACTCAGTTGGGCGCGTTAGAAATAGCTAGTCTCAATCACTGGACGAGGTTATGCAACAGTGAGGAAAGCAGTTCTCAGTGCCGTGCCAAGTAGAGCCAAAGTGAGCCAAGCCAAGTCGAAGCGCGCTGGTTGCTACGCAGCAATGAACAACTCTCGGCAGCGTTCCCCAGCAATGCCTGTAAACACGTTGTTTATGCGACAGTGAAGCGAGGTGGGTTTCTCCGCTGTACAACTGAGGGTTTATAAGAGACACTGGAACGCCTAAGCAGTTAGTTGAAATACAGCAGCAGTCGCAGAAAGAAGACCCGAATGCGTGGTGAGAAGATTTTATGTGATAGTGCGCGATAACTGAGGAGCCAGTGAAGACTTATTGTGTGCCTTCAAGACTTTGTGTGCGCTGCAGTACAGTTATATTTGGAGTGTGTAATTCAGTGAGACTTGTATAGCTCCCGCGTTATTAATACGTGAAGACTACTGAAGATACTGTGAAGAGATTTGTGAGTATGGTTTGTAAAGTGTGTAAACCCGTAACATTGTCATAATTAATTGTAGTTACGATTTGTAGCTTGTTAAATAAACCAAGTAACAATCTGAACAGCGTCTTCAGTGGCAAAACACGTTACAATAGCAAACTTTCTATGTCATACTATTTTTCTGACCTGAACTGATAGATAAAATACTTTCTTTGTTATTTAATAACTGCACAAATCCATGTATTTCTGAACATGAGCTACAATACTTCTTTTGGTTTATTTTGGACTTCACCCATCGTCTGGTATGTGAAAGACAAAAAACCACGACGTTTCAGAGACTGGATCTGTCTCCGTCTTCAGGTGGATAGGGAAGGATAAACCTACTCAGTTGGGCCCCTTAGAAAGTGCTAGTCTCAATCACTGTCCAGTGATTGAGACTAGCTCTTTCACATACCAGACGATGGGTGAAGTCCAAAATAAACCAAAAGAAGTAGTGTATACACCATCGTCAGAATCCTTTCAAGTCTATACGAGCTACAATATCTGTACATTTATATGTTACTCTGTTCCTCCAGACCAATGGTATGATTTGGGTCTGACCTTTCGACATTCTAAAGGGTATGACATGAAAATCAATAAATGAGGTTCTATTACAATACTTACACAGAACTTCTGAATTTCATTTTTTTTCTCATAGCATAAAATATGTTCTTGAAAAACTGTGTCTCAACATAATGGAGAACATATGAAGGTGTCACGCAAAACTTGGACTTGTAAGCCTCGTGTGGAAGAAAGTGGAAATGTATACAGTAGGTCTGCAGCCTAAAACACAAGAATTGTTCATACAAATTATGATTCTAAAATATTCACAAGAAAACAGAATGAGAAAATCAGATACAAACAAAACTGAGTTGGTTCACTATAAATTACACTACACAACAAAAGACTGAAATGGTTTGAAAGATGAAAGATGGACAAATGCAGCAGCAAAAGTGAAAATTAAGAGTAGGAGACCAACAGGAAGGCCAAGCGGAATATGAAACACTGAAGTGAGGAGAGATATTAATTCACATGTTTCATATACTCAGCGTTTACTGGCAGATTATAAGAGAATTTTAACAATATTTTATATAATCCAACTTTTAAACTTTTGGTCACCCTCTGACCTTATATACATATTCCACCTACATCAAGGCAGGAATCATTGCGGAAAATCATTTACCAAAAGTCCTCTCAATAATTGTCATATTGCTCCCAATGTGTTCAAGTGATTAAAAATAAAACCCTTTAAAGGAAATTATTAGTTTCAGAAACAAAAACTGGCATGTGGTTAAATCAGGTATGTAACATTTTCCAACATTAGTATGTTTCTGGTAATATGTAGCATGGCACATGGTCGTGACAAAACCTGGTCAAAGATCAATAAAAGCATTGATATATTCACAAAAAAAAAACTGAACTTGGTCAACTATTAGTTTCAGAGGAAAAAATTCATAATGCATAGTTCCTGTAATGTTAAAAGAGAAAAGAAAACTAGTATGGGTACGATCTTCGATACTAGAACAAATTTTTTGCTCTAGTTTTTGGGTCATGTTTGAAAACTCCGATGATTTTTCCCTAAAGGCCAGGTTCCACCAACATTCTTGCTGACAGGCAGGTATATGTAGATTGTAGAGGGTTCTGACGATGGTGGATGACACACAGAATTACTGAGTTTTTTTTTTTAAGTTTTTTCCATCGTCCAGAATTCTAGGTAATAGAGGACACGACATTTTGGAAACTGGATCTGTTTCTGTCTTCAGGTGAGAAAGGTGTCTCACCTGAAGACAGAAACAGATCCAGTTTCCAAAACGTCGTGTCCTCTATTACCTAGAANTTCTAGGTAACAAGAGGACATGACATTTTGGAAACTGGATTTGTTTCTGTCTTCAGGTGAGACACCTTTCTCACCTGAAGATGGAAACAGATCCAGTTTCCAAAACGTCGTGTCCTCTATTACCTAGAATTCCAGACAATGGAAAAAGTCCAAAAACCCAGTAATTCTGTGAGGCAGGTATATGTTCCATGTTCCATAACAGTCTTAATACCTATGTTTCTGGCAAACAAACAAAGCAGCATGCTAGTAAAACACTTAGAGCATACACAACGCAAACTGAATCAAATTGACTTTTTTTAAAATAAAACTGGCCAATCGTATAGTAATACGATCAAACATATGGCAACTCAGTAGTGTTTATAGCTACACCACAAAAACCATCAGTCCATTTATTTAACTGCCAGACCCCATACATAGATGTACTGTACTTAACCCTAACATGACCCACCATTATCATTACTGCAGTGAGACTTGAATTTTGTGAGATAAAGGTATTAGCCTATAATAATGTATTGCAACCAATCAAATCACAACTCTAAATTGTTTTCATTATGTACTTGTCACAGAGAGATCTATTAAGACTCAGGTTTCATTGCAATTTCAAAATAAGAACATCAGAAATGCTGCCAAATTCTCAGTACTAAGCTCCACATTATGCTTTCATCTCTTTCAGAAACAAGCCTGTCAATTTTCACGTATGAACACTATGAAAACATACACACATATGCAGGTTATACATCACTGCTACATTGAAATAAATTAATATACAAATTTTTTGCTTAATCTTCAATATTTATCTGGCATTTCTTTATAGCAAAATATCTTATTCACATATAGAATTTTAGGCCTAAATTGTAGTTATTATTACATACTATTTTATTTTGCCTGTGGTTCTGTATGGGTGTGAAACTTGGTCTCTGACATTAAGGGAGGAATATAGACTGAGGGTGTTTGAGAACAGGGTGTTGAGAATATTTGGACCAAAGAGAGATGACAGGAGGTTGGAGAAAACTGCACAATGAGGAGCTTCATAACTTGTACTTTTCTCCAAGTACGTCAAGGAGGATGAGGTGGGCAGGGCATGTAGCACAAATGGGGGAGACAAGGAATGCATATAGGATATTGGTGGGAAAGCCAGAAGGAAAGAGACCACTGGGAAGACCAAGGTGTAGGTGGGTGGACAATATACAACCTCTTTATTAAGAGTCATTGTTTACATTCCCTACAGAAAGGACAATACTTTGTAAGATGAGGCACTGACTAAACAATTAACATTAATTTACTGCATCTACATCACGAGCCTCCTATATAATTTTATATACACAAAATATAGAATATTCCAATTTGTACGTGGGAACACAACAAAATTACAAAACCAATGACTGATTTGATGATATAAAA